ATCTCAAGCAGCAACCCAGAATTCCAGCCTCACTCGTTCCCACAGCGTCTAATAAATTGGTGAAAAATGCCCATTGGCTGCGTAATAGTTCCATTCAGCCACATTTCCAATTTCGGCTCTTAATTCCGTAAATCCGTTGAGAAATCGCTTATTTTCTTTTATTTTCATATTTCACCATCATTTCAGTTATTGATTGATATTCTTTTATTGTTACTATTACCCTTTTTTATTATTTTGCCTAATAAGGTACCCAGGTGCCATATGGCACCAATATTTGCCATCTATTATTTCTAAAAATAATTGTTCCTTATATCCTGTACATACCGGATTTTGGAATAGAAGTTCTCCCTTCCCCCAATTTCTCTAAGGTGCTAGGACGCGCTAGAGTGGGTGTGAGTGAGTGGATTCCAACAGTAGGAATAAGGGCAACAATCTAGCCTGCAACGAGTGGGTAGTGGATTTGTTGAGCCCGGACCTTGTGGAAATCCCGGAGAACTCACCACGTGGAGTTAAGGATCGAGAGTAGAAGTTTTGGAGAGTTTGGCCCCACGAGCTTAGTCGGCATAGAGAGTGGCGAGCCCTCTTGCAATGCCATGCCAGACAAGGCAAGGTCACCAACCTTGGAGGAGGTCTCCGAGATAATGAAGAGGAGGTGAACTGAAATGAGGGAGTTCGCTGAGGAAGCCTTACGGAAAAGTAAGGAAAAACCAGCAAACAGACCCCTCTATGAAAGGGAAGCACCCTCTGCAACAGCCTTGCCTAAACAAAGTGAGCATGGAGTGTTCACTCCAAAAACCCCTTCTGGAACCCCCAGGAGCGGTAATGTCAACTGGGGAGAGTCTCTGCTTGCCCAACCAAACTTCCTCCTGGAAAACCAGGAATCGCACATAATAAACATGATAAACATGATCCAAAAAAAGATCAAGGAAATGAACCACAATAGTATGGCTCGTCTAGAGATAACTCTAGAAAGAATGGCCAACGCAATCAATGCGTTGACTGAAAAAATCAGCAAACAGACAGACTTGCTGAAGGAAATAAATTTCTCACAAAAAAGTGAGGAAACAAACAAACACCCCTGGACCACGGTCCAGGACATAAATAAAACTTGTGAAAAATTCATGAAAAGAACCACCAGTGAAAGCACACTGGAATACCATCAGCGACTCGACAGAGACGCTAAGGAGATCCTTCTCCCAAGGATAGGAGAAGATGATGCCGAAAGAAGGCATCATTCAGAGATTAGGAGAAGAATTGGCACGTACCAAAGGTTCAGCCAAACTGTTATAAAAATGGGGCCTAATTGGCCCATTTCTATAGCGTCTGGGTGCAGGGAGTGGCTGTGACATCGAAATAGTGTTACAGTTAATGTAACAGAGGTTTAACAATTGTCTTTACAATGACATTAACAAAGGGTGACTTTTGGTGATTGTTGATGGTTAAGTTGTTACTATTTACATGTCATGTGATATTATAGTACACAGGGCCCATAAGAGGCTAGAAATGGGAAATTGTCAGGGACAGCTCCGAGAGCGGCGAGGTCCCTGTGCGCAGGGCCCGGTGAGACAAGTAGCGGCTGTGCGTAGCGGCGATCCCGTCGTGGGGTGAGCATCCCCAACCACTTAGTCTGAAGTGGGAAGTTGAGTTATCATTAAAAGGGGGGAGCTACAGTACTTACCTGAAGTGGGAAGTTGAGAAGAAGGCTGCTTCTTCTATTCCCACCCCAGGTGCTATTATATACATGCGGCTGAGGTCACGTGGGAGGAGCCACGTCATCCCCGCACACAGCCGCACTCCTCTGGGTATCTCCGTGGGAGATACCGGAGGTGTGCCGCTCTGTGAGCGGGAATGCGCACGGCGGGCACGGCGATCGGGGGAGCGGGGTTAAGTGTGTAGTAATACATAGAGAAGGGGAAGTCGACCGTGGAACGGAAATAGAAATGAAGAAGGAAAAGGGAAGGAAGGAACAGGGAGTGGTAGCGGGGGAGCGGAGTGGGGCGGTGCGGCGCGGGGTCAGGTGGGGCGTGCCCTGACAGAAATTCCCATTTCCATAACACAAACGTCCACTTACGATGGACCTCTCGAACAGAGAGGTAACTCAAACACACACTCTCAAAACAATGAGAGAATCCAAATACAACTTCAGGCGAATTTGCCTGAAACCAAAGAAATGCTGCAAGGAAGATTTCCCCCAGCGAAAACCCCCCCAAAGGAGAGATCTCCATTGGATAGCGACCCCGCAAAGGCAGGGGAGCAAGAGGAGTACCTAGAGAAATGGTATGAAAAGGCGATAAGAATGGCCAAAGTGAGAATACTCACTCCCTACCCAGAAGGAGTGAAGCCTGAAGCCCTAAAAAATGGGCCGGCATTCCCTGACAAGAAATGGTCAGGGGAGAACGACATGGAATTGTTCTTGTTATAGAAATGGGAATTTCCCATTCTAGCCTCTTCTGGGCCTTGCACACAGCCACTGTCAGGTGATTTGTATGGCACGTGCCATTAATTAAGTTTAACCAATCAACAATTACCAAAAAACCCGCTGTGCTAACATCTGTTAAACCTCATGTTACAACATCTGTGAAACCACCTGTAAAACCTATGAACCACCTCACCTCCACTTTCCACTTTCCTGTGCCAAGAACGGACGAAAATGGGCGCCTCCGGCCCCATTTTTGTAACAGTTCTGGCAGTGGTTCACAGAACTACTGGGATTCCTCGCTTCACGAGGATGCAAAGGTCCCCAATTCGATGAAGTCCATCTGGACTGCTTGATTCGTGGATTAGGGGGATCTGTGTTCGACCTCGGAATAAGACTCCGAGACGAAACTCTCCTCAGAGGAGATGAGGGCATGTTCCTCGAAGTTCTCAACATATTGATGAGAACTTTCATTAAAGCCTCTGCCGCATTGAACGCGACAAAGAAGTACCGCAACGTCAAATATGAAGCGGAAAAAGGCCTAAAACAGTTCTACTTAGAACTGTCCAAAGCAGTGTCCCAGATGGTGACGCTGCCAGACCAGGTGTCCTTCAACGCCAGGTTCCTAAACTACATTCCCCTTGAATGGAAAAGGGAAATGATTGCTCATGATAGAATCAGAGCAGACTTCTCCTCAAACGAGGAGATGTTAAAAGCAATATCTCATGTAGACGAGATAATCAACAGGCTGAAGATGTCTTCAGCCTACAAATCAGGTTACTATACCTGAACAACTACCATGGCAACCACGAGCTGCAGTAGAGCCCTCCCATCAGGAAAGAAGGCTGAAGAGCTGAAACCCAGATGGAAAGAGGATACATCCTCGAAAAACTCGAGGAAAACTGACCAAAAGTCAGTTCCAATTTGCGGCAAATGCAGCAAAATAGGGCAAACGAAAGACTGCCCAAGACACAATGTAAGGAGCGATGAAAAACCAAGGTGCATAGCGGCCATGGAGATCGCGATCACAACAGAAGAAGAGTCGAAAGACTCATCAGATGAGAAACCAGAGAACAACTCTGGTAACTCCGAAGCATCAAGCTTTGAAGTAGAGGACCCATATGAAGGACCTCAATACTCACCCGACTCAGAGGGTGAGGAAGTCAACGTTGGGACCATAAGGATGGGCCCAATGTCAGTCGTCGATCATGATGACATAAATTACAAAATCAAACTGGCTGTAGCATGCCAGTTAGAAAACATGGCAGACGAAAAAGTCACCAAAGCCTTGGTGGAAGCACCAAGAAAAGACGCCTTGGGGAAATACACCAAAGTACCCAAGGAAAACAAGGACCAAAAGTCCATCGAAACCCAGTCCCCCTTGTTTGATGTGAAATTCTGCATCTCAAAAGATGTGGGAAAATACCCCGCAAACAGACCGCTCTCAACGAAGAGAACACTGATGGCCCACATAAAAATAGCAGGCATAAAAGCCTATGTGCTATTCAATAGTGGAGCCGAAATGGACACTTTATTGCTGGACTTTGTCTGTGTGGTCCACATCCCAATTCTCCAATTGGAGAACCCAGTTGTCCTTCAAATGGGGACAAAAGGAACAAGATCACAGATCCTGTTCGGAACAAATGTGGACGTTGAGATCAACGGCCATGTAGAAAAACACTACTTTGATGTAATTAACATCAACAGATATGACACCATATTCGGCGCCCCCTGGTTATTGCCATTTGCAAAATTCGAGGCAAACTCCGAAATTCAAAATTCCGCAAAATCTTTCGCGTCACTGCTCACTCAAAACTTGACTGATTTTGGCGATTCGACATGCATTGGAAAGCGTCCGAGTAGTGCTTCATGATTGTTCAGATGGCGCAGCAATATGAGAAGATTTTTTTCTTGCCGATTTGCACATGAATGGTGGAATAGTATCGTGATTTGAGTGCAACGTTGTGTGCACATGTCCTTTATTTAGAGCTTTCTGAACATCACAACATTAATATTAGATTATGGAGGCAATGGACATGACATTAGCACTGGGGATGAGTCTGAAGTACAGCCACCAAAATGCGTGACAAATTGGTAAATCATCTGAGTTCGGATTCTCACAACTGTACAGTTCCACCTCTCTTCTTACTCCCATCTACATGTCCACATGGTCACAACAAGAGGAATGCGACAGGCAGTGGATGTGCCACCACTGAGCGAATCTGATCCCACTGCCACTCACACAGTAGTGACTGTGGCTAAGCCCATGGTGAATCAGAAACAACGTGGTAGGTGTTGAAAAGTGGCTTCAGAAATGCCACCACCTGAGATCGTCAACCCCCTTCCTGTGGGCCTGGCGGTTGAGGAACCAAGTGAGCCCCAGGTTGTTTCCTCGGTTCCCACCCTTGTTTCCCCCATTCTTGCCCCCATTTCTCCTATTCTCGCCTCTGCTGCTGACCCTCCCATCGTGAGGAAGACCAGAAAGTCGTGCACTAAAGCCAAGGCAATCGAGGCTGACCAAACAGAGCAGATCAGCATTCCAGAGTACACAATTGTGGTCGCGAATGCATGAATAATTCAAGAAATGCCCAAGGCACCCAGTGGTCCTGCCACTTTGGGTGCAGTTAACCCAAAAGAAGTTATAAATGTCAAGCACGAGAACAAAAAGCTGCAAGTTGCAGCAAAAGTTTCCGCAGTCATTCCTGACTCCGACTATGTGATGACGAGTGAACTTGAAGATCTGTCTAGTGATGAATCTGAGATCACTGGTGCACTGGGTGCAGACGATGCTCCAGCGCTAGTCCAAGAGGAGGCAGTTGAAGGTGAGTGCCAACTCTCATTCCTCACCCTGCTGAGACTGGTGTCATTCGTGTTTACCTACTCCTATAGACTACATTATAGACTTCGAAGTTGAGACTGACAATGTTGTCAAACTTCTTCGACTACCCATATCTATGTCATGGTGGACATTCCAGGATCAGATTGCCAAGACAATGGGCTGCCATGAGACCCGGCTACGCTTGGGCTATAGGCTCAGCACTGCAAGAGCGGGAGAGAAGGCACACAGCCTTGAGACACCGGACGAGTATTCCGAAATGCAACAAGAAATAGTCTTGGAACGCGAGAAATGGGTGGTCCTCCAGAAAAAGGCGTCCAAGATGAAGCCTCCGAAGGCGTTGAAAGTATTGATCAAGGACAGGCGAAATAAGGCTGAAAAAAAGGTGTGAGAGTAGATAGATGTTCAAGAATCTCATGCAACGCTAATGCTAACGATTTTATAAGACCATCACAAAACCAAAAACTGCCTCAAAAACTTCTTGTGCTAAGCTCAATAATAGTGCTGATCCAGACTTGGTCGAGTCCACATCGGCAATGTATATGCGGCAACTCACAAACAAATATGGCAACTGTAATCAACATGGAGGGGAATCCTGTTTTGTCTGGCCTGATGGGACTCATCGGCACTTGACCATTGCAGAGCTCACTTTGTGGGCAATTTCCATCGTAAGTCTGATATTGGTTTGCTTGCTATGTAAAACTCATGAATACATAGGAATTGCACTGTGCAACCCTCTCAGTTCCTCCTGACTTGCTCAAACTTTCAAGTGAGAATGATACTCGTCTGCCCAAACCCAGCAAGTCTAAACAAACACCTGGTGCGACATCCGGTTATCCTCCACCACCGATTCCAGGTGCCATGTGGCCATATCCCACAGGATTTGTGCCATTCAATACCGCCATGCCTCAGGCATATGCAAGTCATGATGCAGGTGTAAATCCCGGTGCAATTCCAATCCGTCAGTTCACATTTTAGGATGATCTCATGTGTTGCTCACTGTTGCTTCTGTTTATAGCGCTAAATTTACGCTACATGTCAATTGAAAGACTCCTTGAAGTGCTTGATGAAGAAGAACTTCCTTCAAAATCTCACCTCACGATGAAGTACAAAGAGCAGTTTGCATCACACAGCTTTCGCACCATCTACGATTTGACTGATACCGATTATCTCAGCCCCAAAGTACTCAGTGAACTCCTTGAGCCTAAACCCCCCTTTGCGACCTGTGTATGCATTATAAGGTGTGCGAAGGATGAAGTACAACACACTCAAGATGCTTATTTGTCTGGCGATAGGTCGGTTCTCATCTAGTACTTGATTTCACAACCTCAGAGATGCCAGGATGGATGGGTCAGCCACAGGTACTTGGCGCTCCTCAATGGAGCGTACCGTGTGCGAGGTCGCGACTTGTGAGATGGGTGAGAACTTCGTATAGTTGCCATCGGGTACTTGGCATTCGCAGTGCAAACGTACCGGTAGCAGGTTGATATCATAAGCGTGCAATGAGGACTGACTAGTAGTGGGGGTCAGCAAATGAAGGGAGACGTCTGAGGTAATATTGTAACCACGTGATACAAAAAAACGGCCGTCATCCTCATGCAAAAACAATTCCTCTTGACAGTACAACCATGTTTCAAGTATTACCATAATTATTACTTAATAATGATATTGAGATACCGCACAGGATGTGAGCCCATTTTGAAGCGGTTTTATGGATGATTATGGAATATCACAAAATGTGCGGGATCTTCTTGAGCTTTTCTCATGCACCAGGAAGAATTTCGGAAATCCACTAGGCCGAAACCTGCATTCGTACCTATAGAGAAATCTCGCAAAGTTTGAGCCCAATCGGAAAAGAGGAAAGGTACATTCTGTGACTTGGAAGCCACAATGGATGTAGTAGGCCCAAGCTCCATATAATATATAGTTGTACCAAGGTAATAACTGAGCAAAGAGTCAGTCCAATGCTATTTTAGCATTCCATCGAAGTTTGATGGGTTCATATGTAGTTATCATTGAGTTATAAAGCAATATGTTAAAATGCGATTTTATGTATGGTGAATAACTTTTGATTGAGGAAGAATTTCCAAAATCCGGTAGGCCAAAATATAAACAGACGATACATCTACAATCATGCCAAAAATCAAGCAAAAAGAAGAGGATTGAAGGTACATTTGGGGTGCATCTTTCCAAAATGTCGGGATAGGCGCAAAAAGGAATCACGTGCCAGGGTTTACCGACGTCGCCTGGCCCAACCTGGGATCTCTTGGCATCTAACCTTCAGTCTTATTGGCTTATTAATTTGGGGGCAGACACCCACACCCACTTCCTAGTCTCCCAAATGCCAAGGGATAGAACTTCTTGGACGTATTCCAGGAAAAAGATCACCTCCCCCCAAACCCGACAATTTACTAGAGCTCGAGCTCATATGACTGGCCATGCTGAACAACAGTCAGCAAGGGGGACCCATAGATACAAGGAGAATTTATGGCGATGCGGAATGACAGTGTTTAGCCCAACCACGGTTTCATAAATAAAAAATCCATCTAATTACTCACCTCCACATGTAGATAACTTCCGACCTTCACATCATTGTCATTTACACAAATTCTAGATAGTTTGCAACCTAAAGATGATGTGTTTTGAGTGGGAGGATGGCACAGCCAGAATCGAGACGCATTTTGCTTATGTAAGTGTCACAAGGTCGCAACGTTGGTTGCCGACCCCCACTAGTAGGGCCTTCGGTGACTTGGCATTTCCAAAGGGAACGTACTGTTGGCGGGGAAACATGATGACTGACGAAGGAAGAAACAGACGGTGGATGGGTGGCTACTTGGCGTTCGTGTAGCGAGCGTGCCAGCATCATGGGTAAGTGGGCCTCAGAGTATTCACGATCTCTATGATCGTGATGGAACGTTGTGTGTTGAGTACTGGGGGGAGAGCATAGTGATGAGGACCCATAGGGTACAGATTCCATAGGATGAAATACATGTCAAGAGTCTTCGACTCGCGACCTCGAGTTCTCACAGCGAGGGCCATTAGAGGACTCGATATAACCAGACATATAAGACATATTGAGAGTTGTACAATCACATGGGTTCAGTTGAGTCACAGGGAGGGTTGTTACAGAAGATGGTACACGAGACAGTTGTAGAGCAGTTGTTAGTTAGTGGGAACCGCCTTCGGCGGTTTCCGTACAAGATGTGTGATGATTGCTCTCAGGGCATTCTTCGTACACCACAAACCATAGAGCAATTCAAGCAAGTTCCTGTTTAACCAGGCACTTTTTCGCCCATATTTCAGTACTTTGGTATTTTACTCAAGAAAGGCAAGCTTAACAAGCATGAGTCACTTGAATTGGCATGCCCTGTTCTTGCCCAGGGCCGTAAGCAACTGCTTGAGAAATGGCTCAAAGAGAACAAGGTAACAACTCCTCATCCAGTGTGAGCATAGAGGTTGACCACATAAATTGCTCCAGCTTGAATGCACAGAAGAACTTGGCGACATTGTTCGCTTACACAACATGACCCTCGCTCTCTCGGTATATCTTTGCGCCAACGTCCCCAATAAGGTTGTCGCATGCTTTGCCAAGATGGGCCAATTCGACAAGATTCTATTGTACACAAAGAAAGTCGGCTACCACCCTGATTATGTGGCGCTTCTTCAGCACATTATGCAAGCGAACCCTGAGAAGGGTGCCGAGTTTGCAGCCCAGCTTGTAAACGATGAGAATGGGCCCCTTGTAGATATTGAACATGTCATAGACATCTTCATGTCACAGAACCTTATTCAACCCACCACATCCTTCCTCCTCGATGCCCTCAAAGATAATAAACCTGAGCAGGGTCATCTTCAGACTCGTCTCCTCGAGATGAATTTAGTTCATGCTCCCCAGGTGGCAGATGCAATTCTTGGAAATGAGATGCTCAGCCATTACGACCGACCACATATTGCCAACTTGTGAGAAGGCCGGCTTATTGCAGCGTGTATGCAATTCTCAAAGTTAGACTATTTTTCACTGACCAAGATTCCGCAGGCTCTCGAGCATTACGAGGATCGGATCAATATGCGTGAAAACCTTCAGGTGGTGGTTGTCATATCCGTGCATACCCGACCCCGACCCGACTTCCGGACCTCCACCCTCTTCACCTCCGGAGTCATAACCTACCGCTGCCTTTCCGATACTCACCTTCGGTCTCGGCAACACACCCCTCCTCTTACCTCTCCGACCCCTTCTCCGTCCGTTCCGATACTCATCTCGGACCGAACATCGCCCTACTCGCCACCCTTCCTACAACTCCGCTCCCCCCTCACCACACCTCCACCCTCCCGTCATCCCCTACGCTATCTCCGTCCGTTCCGATATCCACCTTCGGACCTGACTACTCTTCCTTACCTTCCCCTCTCTCATTCCTCCGCCACCCTTCCGCCAAGTTACGACCATCCACCGCTGTTCCGTACTTCACACTCGGACACCGTTCGTACCTTACTCCGAGCCTCCGTCATAGTCCATACCTCGGACTTTGACTCCACCTCGGTCTTAGTCCATTGCATTGGTGACCTCATACTACGTGAACACCATTGCCAATATTCCTCGGACTTCCAACCCCGCCTCCGTAACCTCCGTAAGCTCCGCAACCCCCGAGCTTCGCGGACCGCCTCCGGCACTCTCGCCGTTTGTAATGTATTTCTCGCAATTCCCCCTCATCCCTATTTGGACTACTGCTTCTTTCTATTCTAGCCAGTTAGTCATCACCCCCACTTCCCCTCATCCTCCTGCCCCTCTGGGCCTCGCCCACTCTACCTCCTTTCGGATGTATCACAGGTCTTGCCCTATGACCTTCGGTACCGCTCCGCTCCCTCTAACCCTTTGTTCCTGTTCGGACGTCTTCGTTCCGATTCGGTCACCCTTTGTTTCTCCTTGTGCTTTTGCCCCTTCCTTATATATCGGCGCTTGTACATACTCGTCTGTTTTCAGTCCGAAATCGACCTGAAATGCCCCCAAGAGACTTCCTGCTCACCTACTGTGAAATTAAGGACCAAATGGACAAACAGCAATGGCACAGCGCTCCGCTTGAGTCGCTGAGGCCAAGGTCCCTCCACGCTAAGTCTCCGATTCCACTCCGGAGTCGTCCGTTTCCGCCCATCTCTAACAGTGGTCCAGATCGCAACCAAGTATTCCGACATTCTTGGTCCAGTCAAACTCATCGAGTTATTCGAGTTGTATAAGAGCTTCGAGGGGCTATATTACTACCTTGGCTCGGTCGTAAATCTCAGTCAAGACTCTGAGGTTCACTTCAAGTACATCCAGGCCGCTACTCGGACTGGCCAGATCCGCAAGGTTGAATGAATCTGCTGTGAGAGCAATTACTACAGTCCAGAAAAAGTCAAGAATTTCCTCAAGGAGGTGAAACTTTCCGATCAACTCCCGCTTATCATCATCTGCGATCACTTCAACTTTGTGCACGATTTTGTTCTTTATCTTTATCAAAATGGATTGGTCAAGTTTATTGAGGTTTATGTTCAGTGTGTCAATGCGGCCTGCATGCCTGTCACGACCGACAAATCCCGGGGCTCCGTCAGCGGCAAACCAATGCCGATAGGCGAATCCGCCGACCTGAAACCCATCCTAACCAGCCCCCAACCCCATGTCTGGCCCCCTGCCTTACTGTGTGAGACTTGGCCAAGAATCAGAACCTAGACCCTGCCGGTATTCCGACCTTACCTCCAGTTCCTGAGCCCTTGGCGCTCCTGGCATTCAGTCATGCCTGCCTTGTCTCCATCTGAACCACACTCATCGCTTCCCGCTATGTGGTCACAGCCATGCCCCGCTTCCGTGCATTCCGCACCCTCTGCCCACTCCGCACCCTCTGCCCACCTCTGTACCTCTGTTGGCCTTCATGCTGTCCTTGTGTGACAGTGCTGGCAGATCAACCTCTGTTCACGGACTTGTGTCAGCACCACACCAACCCCGCTTATTTGCGGACTTGTATCGGCGCCGCGCGCTGACCTCCGCTTTCCCTCTGGCCATTTGTCACTTGGCAGCTTATCATTCATTCCTTGCCGAGTGCCATTTATTGTTTGCTTCCCTGCCAATATCGGCATTTGATCCCCTCTTTATTGGCACTAGGTTATTGATCTCATTCAGTTATTCATCAATAACCCTTGCCACTTATTGTTTAGTGATCTGTTCCTCGTTTCCAGTTCCCGGGCTCTTGTCCTTATTTAGTTTGACAATCCCCGCTTATCTCCGCGCCGGACCGTGCCGGACTGACCGGCCTTTCTATATTCCCTCTTGCCTATTTATATACCTTGTAAATACTTTTGGGGACCTCAGTCTGAAATCAACTAGAGTACCCCCCTGTCTGTTCTGAGTCTCTTCTTCTGCAAAGGGGCTTCCCCCCCTCTGAGTCCGTGCTCGCGGAGTCCACACTCCTCCTACAGGTCCGCTCCGCCCGCAAGTCTTGTTTGAAGTCCGCTGTGAGTGTCAATCCGTAAATACAGGATCTCCCCCAAACGTCAAGCTCAGGGCACAGCGCTCCACCTGAGTCGCTGAGGCCGCGATCCCACTCTGCTAACCTTGAACAGCGCTTCCGGACGCGCCGCATATTTCCGCCCGCATATCCGCGTGCGCGCTCCAACAGACCTCTGCCACAATCTCCGACCCCGACTCAGACAGAACCCAATCCATTGTCTATCTGTCTTCTGACAGTCTGCCAGACTCCGACAATAATCCAGACTTTGACAATAATCCAGACTCTGACAGTATTCCAGACTCTGACAATGCCTCAGGTTGTGGGTGGCCTCCTGGACGTTGACTGCAATGAAGCGACTATCAAAAGCCTTCTCACCTCCGTTATCGGGATTTTCCCCATTGATGAGCTTGTCGAAAACGTAATCGCCTTTGAACATTCTACAAAATGTAATTACATTTACGGAACCATGAATGTGCAAGTTCAGGTGTGATACGGAAAATATATTCATGCAAATGGGTGATTGTCGCGATTTTGGCATCATCATTATCAGTGATGCACATATCCTCACGAAGCACCTCATCGCGTTGAGTCAAACCTTTCAGCCAACCAAAGGATGGTTCGATTGGGCTGAAATCAGGGCTGTAAGGTGAAAGATAGACAACTTTTTTTCCACTAATAAAGACTTGTTAGCATCACTTGTTGAAATAGAAGTAGACATGTATATACCTTGATTTGATCATTGACTTGATGTGTTCCCCTTTGTGAATATGGCAATTGTCCATCACGACAACTGAATTCAGCCCAGGAAAATCGCTCATTTGTGCCAGTAGCCCATTGATGAAATCGGTGAATAGCTCGGCAGTGAATGAGCCTTCCACAATCTTCAGCCAAATAATGCCATCGAGGCATAAAGCTGGCAAGATGGAGTATCTGAGCCTTTGTATGAGATTATTTTCCACAAAAGATGAGAATTATTCATACCTTCAACCCTGAATGAAGTGGCAGTGCTTTGTCACATGCTCCCCATGGAGAGACCAACCATAATCCCGATATGTAGTACGCTTATCAAATGAACTCTCGTCAATGAAAACCAGCTGCTCTGGCTTATATTGTCCAATTTCGAGTAGAAAATTGGCCCGTTTGACTTCGCTGCGCTCGATTGCCACCTTCGTCATCTGTCACGAAATCATGGTTAATAAATACAAGGGAAATGGGTATAAATAGCCACCTTTTTCCATGTCAATCCAGCATTCTGTAATGCACGCCAAATGGTGGAAAGGGATACATCAAGATCCCGGAACTCACGCAGGTGAGCTTGGAGTCCTTTGAGGTAAAAATCTTTGCAGAATTCCAACAGACCTAACAAGTACTAACCTATGCACTTAGAGAGGCCAGGAATATAGTGACTGGAAAAATACTTACGCTGATATCATTCTCTTCTATGAGGCATGGCCGACCAGCTTTGGATGGCCCATGTGAAATTCTGAATGCGCCACCATTCACCTGGCAGTTTTCACGTACACGATTGACTGTCCGTAAGCTCACACCAGCTACCAATGCAATCTGTTCAGGATGGACATGGAGTGCCAACATCCTTGCAACAACATTGCCACGTTCCTCAGTGATCCTCTGGACACCTGAAGTCACCAAAACAGTAGGCGCACTTGTAGGTGCACAGGGGACAGTGCCACAGAGGATGGTCCATGGTCTAGCGGGTTTGTTCAACAACAGTGACTTTGCTCTCGTGACTATGATATTAGGAGTTGTCCAAATTATATTACGCTTACACATTGTTATGTTGTTCCCTTTGGCTTTCCAGGAATTAAACCAAGTCATACGCTCTTTGTGTAACCTGGGGCAGGGCTGATTCAGACTTTCAAGACCTCTCAGCACGGAAAACACGAGAAAAAAAATTTTTGTTTAAAAACAATTTGGTTTGCACCTGCTTCATGTGCTACTCAGACGCTTTCCAACGCATGTTGAATCACCAAAATCAGCCGAGTTTTGAGTGAGCAGTGATGTGAAAGATTTTGCGGAATTTTGAATTTCGGAGTTTGCCTCGAATTTTGCAAATGGCAATAAACAAAAACCAGGTAAGCTTAGACTTCCGGTCCCACAAAGTGAGAACGGTGAACAAGGGCAACATAGACACCCTTGGAATAAGCAAAGACTGTGTGACGAGATCACATGGATG